ATTAGAGTTATAATTTTATTTATTTTTTTAAATATTAAGACTGTTAATGTTTAAAATATGATTCATGAATAATTTTTAAACTGTCAAAAAAACATAACAATACCTATATATTACATAATATGAGTATATGACTRTAAGATGAGGCTGAGGCATTACACAATAACCATCATAACATGCAATTTAATCATTTATTAAAATATTTATAAAACGTACCATAAAATGTGTGCATAATTCATTTTTATACGACATTAGAATCATTTGAACATTTTTGTTATTTTAATATTGTGCTTGAATGCACCTAAAGAAGTATAATATATAGTACTGCAGATACCTACTATAAAATTATATATCATGCAAATATTTTTAACTTATTTAAAAGTACTTGTCATAATAGAAATCGAGTAAAAATATTTAAATACTTTTTACGATTATTCTTATGTTTTTGTGACACTTGATGTGTATATTTGTTATTTTATGTTATACACTGTTATATATGTTAAAATATTATGGTTAAGATGGAGAATCCAATTTATTCCAACACAAAGCTAATATTTACACACTTAAAAAAACAAYGATTTATCTGTTTCGTAACTTATTAGCATTAGTTTGAATACAATTCTTATGCATGTAATTGCCACTGAGACGTGGTGAAGCACCAATTATTAATACAGATTAAACATTTAAAATTTAAAAACTTTTAAAAGTATAATTATATATGTAAGAAAAAAAATCGATATAGGAAATGAAAAGAATGGGGTTTGATATATAATACAGTTTCGTTGAAAAAAAAAAAAATAAAGTAAAAAGACACATAGCACAAGCATATCATATTATACATTTATACCATTTCGGCATTACCTACTATAGGTAATATACTACGATATATTTACGATATATTCTGTATCATGCCATAGACAGTAGACGGTAAGCTTGAATGGCTATCGACTTTGTGAGGGTTGACTGAATGCTTTAGCCTTTAAGGAATCCAATAACTCCCTAACACATTCGCAATAACAAGTTTTATACAATAGGGGAAACTGAACAATACCTAATATATCCTAATATGTTATATGACTATGACTATAAAACAACGCTCGGCTATTACAACTATTCAAGTCATTCATTACTAGGAAACAGCTGCTGCCTGCTGTCAATTGATTGATGATGAGAACATTTTGGATTATAATACAAATTTAAAAAAAAAACGACAAAAGATGTGCGTAAACAAATAAAATATATATTACTAATTTAGGTTGGTGTGTATAATCAAGAGTCCTTTAATTTATTTCATGCGTGACGTATAATATTTRTATGATAAATAATAATACTTGAAAGTCTACGGTATGAAAATTAAAACATTTTAAATGAAACTGCAGTATTAATGTATTATTTATAGATTCAATATAAGCTACAGAACTTGGTACTTTTTCTATTCAAAAACAAAATGACAAATTTATTTTGATTCCTATAGTCATCAGTGATTTTAATCATTGAAGTATAAAACACAGTTAAAATAAAATATTTTCCTTGCATTAATGTACAATGCCAGCAGAATTGTATAACAGATTTTTCAATTTGATGAAATGAATTATTTCACTATATCTTTTTTTATCAAGGATATATATTTTATTTCCAATATAAACATTCTGTTGTGATTTGAGGAACAAATTTGAAAGTTTAGACATGAAATCGAGGTTTCGAGGTATTCCTTTGAGCTTTGGGAGTAATACGTGCTGTTCTGTTGCTTRTTTCGTCCTACTACGGCGTGCCTTATTACAGAACTGTCCAGKATATTACCAACCCATTTTGAGATGTTGTTTGGGGARTTCAAATTTTTAAAATGGAACGTAAAGGTAAAGAGTAAAGAGTGAGTGCAATGACTAGTCAATTGCTTGACCTAGTTTAATATTTATATGAAATTAGGTATTTTGCATATTATATTATTAATAATTATCTATTGAAATAAAAAMGTTGTTCTTATACWTAATCTTTTGAATTTTGTACAAACTTATTGTAGGTACTACTTATTTGTTTTTTTTTTTTTTTAGACTCGACTGAGATCCAATATGTATACATGAATTCACGGTCAAACCAACACTTTCCGCGACACGTAATGTACTACTTTTGGGTAATTGCATCCTGTCCGATAAACAAGAGAGGGTGACCGCATTTTATGTTTCACATCCATGGATGTTATTACAAATAGTTGAATGCGCGATGTATAAAAAAAAAATCATTGACTATTATTCAGAGAGTGGCTTTTGTTATCCCCCCTTAACACTCCTTTCATTTCACTTTTAATCTATCGTTCGGTCACGTAGTGTTAAAGGACATGGTACATTGGTATCGCCCTAATAAYCCAACAACAATTTAATATTAGACAATATTACAGTTAACTTCCTAAACAGTCAGTCGGATTTAATCTCTTACGAGAGTTAACAGGAATGCCCTATTATTTGTATATAGTATTCAAGGACAACAGGGCTGTGAAAACGTATTTACATTTAAAAAATTTCGTTTAAAAATATCACTCAGAAAAAAAATCATAATCTACTTTTTGAGCAGGTACTTGAGAATTTATATTTATTAATTATTTACACTACACATATATATCATAGCAAAGATTCAATTTTGAATAAGTATTCATTCTAAGGAAATAATCTTTTTGCAAAAGAATAATCGTTTAGACATATAAAATGTTTTATAACTAAAGGTTGGCTTGTTGCCATARTATACAAACCTTGGCATAAAATACAAATTTAACAAATGTAAATGATAAATACATAATGAAACGCTTCATATTTGTATAATTTAAGTTTTATTTGATATTTTCGGTATGCCATAGCTGATTCATTATTCTGAACATTTAAATACTTGGATAGTAGTATTATAGTATTGTATATTTGTATAATACATTTATGTTACTTAATGTATTATATATTAAATTGTCTTTATAATATTACAAGTATTAATTATAAATCTGTGATTTTAGAATCTAAATTTCTCATTAGTCATTAAAAATGTTCAAATCGACGTTTATATATGACATTTTTACATATTATCATGTCAAATTTAGATATTAAGAGAACCACAAACTACTTAAACGAATTCAGAATATTCTTCGATTTTAAAAAGTACCAGGCACCAATATTTGTTTAATACAATTAAAATTGACAAATCGTTGAAAGAAAAAATATCWGAAACAAAATTTTAGTAAATGATTCAATCGTATGTATAAAAAACAATTTTCAAAAATATTATAGGTATAGAAATATTTTCAACTTTAGGAGCTGTACGTTCAATCAAACTTTCTTGCGTGGCCTGTRCTCATTATGGTGGCTGCTACAACACGACGATTATAAATTGAATGTAATTATTTAAACAGACGATATTTCCAGAAATGAAAAATTATATACACTCGCCTAATAAAAACTTATTATATAAGGTAAATTATGAGTCACGTGTTTTGTAAGTAAAAAATGATAGTTTAATGTTCCCATTTCTCGAGTTTTCGATTTGGCAGGTACCTATGCTATGACAAACGCAGTAATAAATAATTATTATGAAAAGTTAATTCCCATACAGCATATTATATACTTTCTTAAAGTAAATGATCGAAATGAAAAAAGCATAGTTTTCAACGCTGTCAGTGCTCTATTAATCAAATAACGGATTAAAGAAAAAACCTCGACCACCAAAATCGTACAAAAAGTATTTTTTATTCGCTTTAAAATCAACGAAGTCTATCGTAAAAACAAACACAAATCGTTAACTTATGCGTACGACAAAAATAATATAAAATATACTGGCACGGTCATAATCGTAGTATGAAATATGAGYGGTAGTCAGGTATACAATCCTAATAGGGGCGCCATTTGGGGGGAGCAGGGTGTGCAAGTGCAACTTTATGGTTTAGGTCATAAACTGCTTTTAATGATTGATTTGTATTTTCTATTTTTATTTATATTCTAATTTCAAAAATAGGTACCTAACTATTAATTAAATTTATGCGTTAAAAAATTTCAAAATAGTAATAGTTGAATGGTAAGATATCTAGTACCTAAAATATTAATATTTAATTTATTAATTTGTAATATTTTATGTATGAAAGCCAAATGTTTTTTGATATTAAAAATTGTATASAAAAAATACGATGAGAAACGTTTTATTGACAATTGGCCTGGCGGTGGGAAAAAATTGGCCTCTTTAATTGCATGCACACCCTTAAAAAAAACTGAAGTGGCGTCCCGGAATCCTATACAGATGAAAATCGCTTTATACGAAATATTTATATGATTATATGGTGTAACAACGTGTAATTGAACATTGTAATATTTTAGAGGCARTAAATTTCAAGGGTGGTGAAAATATATTTCATAGCACACATTACCTACTTCTAACCCGTAAAATATATAATTAAAAAAATGCATACATCATTGATAAACCATTTCATTGGGAATCAAAAAATGACGTAACGACTATAATCTTATGTAAACAGAAAATTATATTGACCAATATCTTAACCATGTTCAATCCTTTCGTACAAAACTGCCATTCGCATGATTCGCAGGCATACCGTAAAATTGCACTAATGTAGTATTTTTTTATTCCATAGAAAAGTGATCTAAGCACTAAATTATAATTTTAATTCTACATGCATAATATTATTGGCATGCGTTTTTTTTTAAATGTAAAATTTTGTATTTATATTAAAATCGGAGTGGAGTTTCCACATGGAAATAAGTTGAAGGACTACACGGCATGGAACGCAAAACATTTTCATTATTGTAAAATGGGATCAGTGGATCACCTTAGGAGCTCAATGAACCCAAAGAAGAAGAAAAATASGATTATATAACAGTGTTTTTTAATGTAACGCTCGTCAATGAAATACTATATTAATTTGATAATATTTTGAAACGCGCAAGAGTGTGGAAAGCGGGAGGGAACAACAAAATTATCATCTAGTGGATATAATATAAGGTAGAAGAATAATTTACCCGCAGGCCCAATCCGAAGCAGAGACAACCGGTTACTAAATAATATTATAAAATATTAAATAATATATTGTTGTGGCAAGTGGAAGAACGTGAACGCCTGCCTCAAAAGCCGTGTGTTCTTTATTGAGCGACTTCAACACGGTCGGGACACTCGCGCGCTAAACGTGTTCGGGTATATAATGTCCGGCGACACGGTCGGCATTACGAATAATAATTGTGATGAAATCAATAATATATTAACAGTAAAAATAATATTAAATTAATAACAACAATATTTTTATAGAGAAAATATCGACGGTATCGCGACTACGTACATCGTGAAACCGCTCGACGAACGTTGGGCACGGACGAGCACATCGCACTGTCGCAGTACACGCACCACGCGCGCGCGTCACTGGCGCGTTGTATAATATTCGAAACGCTTTGAACTGCTGCTGCCGGGGAGGCGCCGCGTGCGCGTGAGAAATGGAGGGGCCGGTGGACGGGCAAAGGTCAATAGTGTTGTGATCGCGTCGCGCGAACCGCGTGCAGACACGTGGGATGCGAAAGCGCACGCGCGCGCACTGCACTAAATAGTTTGTCAGACGAACGTGCCGATGGCAAGAATGTTTCGGCGCGGCGCACGTGCGATCCGCGGCCGCAACCTGTGCACGGTATATTGTGATAACAAGCAATAATAATATTGCAACGTTGTTACGCCGTTTTGCTATATAGCGCGCACACGCACCAAACACGACAGACGCGTCAACCGGACGGGCACTGACTGAGAGACGAGACAGTGAGACGCGATAACCGATCACCGCTCGCTGCTGCAGTCGTCGGCGTCATCGCGTGTGATGCTGTCGGCCGTCATGCACACTGCGTCAAGTTACTCGGACAGGAGCCGGGAGGCTATTTTATTGAAAGCATTATGCACGCGCCAAATTCCCCTCTCCTCCTTTGACGCTCGTTGCAGTCGTATATGCATCACGTCCCGCTGCGACGGTGTTCCGCCGCAGCACTTGTACGTGAGCGCGTTGCATTTCTCATCTGCAACCCCCGTGGGGGTGGGTGACTCTCGGCGTGTAATCCCCGACGGGGATAAAGTCGTATAATGGTACATATTATGATTATTTTTGTTATTATTTATTTATTTACGACGACGCATCGGACGTAAAAATAAAAACGACTTTGCCGCGAGAGGGAGAGACATTGAGAGAGATTGGTCGCGACTCGTACGCAGTAATATATATGATATAATATATTATGGCATTACGCGCACCCTTCTCGGCTGAAACTGCACACATAATACTATACATTATTATATTATACCAAATCGGTCAGCCACAGCTGAATTTTCATTTGTTGTRACGAGTATTTTCGGTCGTCGGGAAAAGTTTATATCGATCGCACATAACATCATAAATAGCTTATAAATATGGCCTAGTGATGCGAGGATAGTTGCTATGCATGCCTATAATATGATACATGTATAGGTGAATTAAAAATAATATATCAGAGAGGGAAAAAAGTATCCAATTATCTAGAAAATCTCTTTTTCATTGTAGCACAAAAGTATGTATACATGTATAATAATAGGTTTAAGGTTTTTTTTTCTGTTTATTGAAAACGTGAAATTACTCAATTATTACTTTAAACAGACACATTCAAATTTTATAACGTTTTACCCTCGTGCCTCGTGCGTAGTATTTTATTGACATATTGTGAACTTCAAATATGTGGGTCAGTATTTATTTACAGATATCTTTTTAGTATAGGTAGGTACTCCATTATTTCAGAAAAGAAGACATCAGTCATATTTTAAAGTAATGCTTGGGGTATATTGTTCTAGTGAACAACATTTGATACATTGAGAATTGTTATAAAAAGTAATTATTCGGTCATTAGTCAATTATTTGAAAATCATGAACAAGGTTCAAGACKACAGTGTTTTGTGTTTTATAATATACATCCGATGCCACTATTCCATATAAAAGTAGCTAATGCTTGAAAATCATTAGGTATTAGGTTAGGTTACCAATATTCCATTTCAAAATATTATTCGTTAAACTACATGTATGGTGCGTACTGCGTAGTTTCGTTCATACAATAGCTGAGGAGTAGTCGGACTGAAATATGATATTGTGAAATTAATAAAATTCTAGAGACAAGATTTAATAGACACAGATAATTATTATTCCATTCTACCTATCTTTCAAAACTACCTTTATTAGTTATACTTTTAACATTCCAATTTACACGATGACAATTGTTTATGTTGTATAAAAATTTAGCTCGTAGATTGAAAATTAAATTTAAATTTACTAAACTGATTATAGTTACAAWGTTTAGATTCTTGAATTAGAAATGTATTTATAAAGAAAATATATAATAATATAATATGTTTACCTATGTATCCTAATAAAAATAAAATTTCATTTAAATGACCCTCTACTCTGATACACACAGATGATATACTATAATAATTATTATACAGCCCGATWCAAGATATAAATACTTAAGTATCATTGAAAAATAGGTATTTAAAACTAATTGGCATAAAAGTTATTATTGCCGTCTAAATATTACAATAATTATACAGTTTTAACTTTTAATATTAAAATCGTCATAGTTTTAATATATATTTTTATTTTTATACGAAAATAAATATAGATAAAAGCAAATTATAATGATAATTTGCTTTTAGTCAATATGTTTAGAATTTTCTCAATGGCATGACAAAATTATGACTTTTAAGAAAACTGCAATCATGTTTCGTAAGATTTAAGAGAGTACCTATATAGTATATTGTATATACCTATTATATTGAACTATAACTAGACGAACATAATTACTTTCGTTCGTCAGCGTGAAAAGAAAGATGTCATGACTCATGAAAGAAAAGTTATCATAAGATTTCACAAACAAAATATACTAAAAAAAAAAAAACAAATTACTAACTTAGATGAAAATAATTATTTACAAAACTTGTTAAAGAAAACTCATCATTAGTTACAGTAATTTCAAAGATGATATTTTCAAAGAATAATTATTCTACCATGAAAATTTAAAAAAAAGGAAAGTACCTAATAGGAAACTGTTCTGTTGCAAGTAGGAGGCAAGGGTACTTCATGCCTCGTCATTTAGAGTCAACAGAGAATCACTGTAATGGATGCGTTAAATTTGAACTTAAATGATAAATCATATTGCATACGAAAAACGATTCTAAACTGAGATGGTTCATAACTCGTATAGGTATCGGTCTATAATATTATTATACTATAGGTAATTATATGATATTATATAGTTATTTATTTATATTTGTATTAATCATAGTCTATATTGATTTATATTATTATTACCAATCGACAATGTTGTAGAAAATACTTTTTTWAAAGTATTTAAGCTGCAATTACTTAATTAGCTGCAAATACTTTTAAAACAAAGTATTTACAATACCATCCAAATATTATTTATAGTAAAGTAGATATACTTTAGTGATACTCGAATAATCTTCAATTATACAAAAACAATCTTTTTAGTTCTAAAATTATTTATGTTTATCAAAAATTTGTTCATTACGTCTTAACAACATGATTTGTTCAATAATAAAAATTCTGATCAATCATAATAGTTTTTTTGTGATAGTTGCAACTTGCTCCACTAATAATGAAAACTCTATAGAGACTAGAGATCTTTATATAATATTTGAATATGAAATTAATGTATTTCAATATTTAAAAAATKTATCAAAATGAGGATGGAACAGGACATGCCCCGCCTCGACGCCTTCCAATATAATGTATAGACAATAGACTTATAGTGAATTAATTTTTTTGATTTATAATATAAATAAACTATATTTATAAACCATATTTATTATATATTTAAGCGAACCGAAGTTAATATAATAACCTTTAGCTTGTCCAATATTATGATGTGTCAACATTTTCAGATAAATTATCCACTA